TAAGTAAATTCCCAACAGTTGGTGCTCTAAATCCAGCCAAAGTTCCCTGGCTATCTCGGCATATAATGTGCAGGATTTTACATCAGCTACCATGGTATTCTGTAACCAAGCAATGACTATGTCATTGCAACAAAGCCAGTATTCCATCAACAAGCTGTTAGGATTAGTCGGCTCAGATAAACTTCCATCAATGAAGCCAAGCTTATTTTTTATTTGAAGTGCTCTTTTCATGGATCTTGCCCAAGCATAGTAATTGGTATTATCAAGGATGTGAGTAACCAGCATAGCTCCAGAACTATCGCTGCTACTGATGAAATATGGATTGCAAGGGTTACTAGGATTTGGAATAGGGATATTGTTTGGTGCTGGATTTGCATTTGGATTGTGCTCGTCATTCTGAATTGTATTTGGATCTGAATTTGTTGATTCCATTGTGGTGTTATGCACAATTCTCTAATACCATAAAAGAAATACTTAACTAAAAATATTGAAGTTGTGTATTAGGAGGAAACAGATTGATTCATTTTATTAAAAATTGTAAAAACTGTACAACAATGTGGTATTTATAATACAATGAGAAGGATCTAGAAGAAGAAAATCTATGTTAATATTCTATACAAAAAATGATTAAATCACAGCAAAACAACCGTGAATATTCTAACAGATAGAAGTGGTCCCATTTGCCCCATAGCAGAATTTTGTTATCCTCTATCATCATTCATGCTGATGCCTTTCCACTGGTGGTCCCCTTCCTGATGATCAGCTGATGGTGCACGATAATGCTTCTTCATTTGTAGCTGATTCTTCATCAGCTGAGCTTGATGTTTCAATATGAAGAGAATAAGATTTATAGAATGACCTACATGTTTAGTGCTACTGTGCCGCCTGCTATCGAGCCGCTGGCAAGGAAGTACTTGAGGAATCATGTTGTTGTCACTGTTGGCACTGCAGGAAAGACAACTGATAACATCACTCAAAAGTTATCATGATGAAGGAGAATGATAAACAGGGTAGGTTAAAGAAATTGCTCGATGAGCTCGGGGATAAGACAGCCATCGTATTTGTTAACACAAAGAAGGTTGCTGATAATGTAGCAAAAAATTTAGATAAGGAGGGCTATCGTGTGACCACAATGCATGGGGAAAAGTCGCAAAAGCAGCGAAAAATGAGCCTCGAAGGATTTAGGACTAGGAGATTTAATGTTTTGGTTGCCACTGATGTAGCTGGTCGTGGTATTGATATACCTGATGTGGCAAATGTCATAAATTATGATATGCCTGGTAATATTAAAGCTTACACCCATCGTATTGGGAGAACTGGGTGTGCAGGGAAGACAGGTGTTGCCACCACATTCTTGACTTTGCATGATACTGATTTAGAGCTGACTTCGGTGGAGTTCATAGGAACATGTAGCAGTCCAAATCTGTGTACACTTGCTTTTTCTTGATCCTCTTAGTATCCAGATC